AAATTATCGATTTCTTTTATATTTTCTTAAATTATCATTTAGAGTTCAGATAGGCATAAGAATATTGTGTCCAAGGAGTAGCTTCATTTTTTTAATAACCTCCCAGTTGTAGCATTAAAATTTAGCAATATCATTTTAAAAAGATTTTAATTTTCTAAATCTAATTCTCATCTAATGAATGAACTTAATAAATTTTATGAAAATTTAGAAAGTAATTCATGTATATGTATGTGTATTGACATTCTGTCCTTGGCTCAATTCAAATTATTGTCATTTTAGATAATTATTGTGAATTTATTTCAAGGATAGGTTAAAAATTTTAAAAATCATTGTAAAATTTTTAAAATAAAATTGTTAGTTCTTACAAATTTTTTTACAAATTTATTAGAATTTAATTCAAATTTTTTAAATTTTCACGCAATCATGAAACCAGAAGTAAAATGATGACAAAATATTAAACCGATTTTCTTTTGTATTAATCTCATATATGTACGATTACATCTGTTCTAACTATTTTTAAATTAATATTGATATTTAATCGAAATTTAATTAAGAAATGCCGATAATTTAATTTAATTTTAAGATTTTATTGATATTTTCAAAAACAACAAAATTTTTTTCATTAATTTACACTTATTCTTGTTTGTGAATTTAATAAATGGCTGTAATTAACAGTAACTATATGCAATATGTATAAAGGTACCAATGTATACGATGTATGTTTATATTTTTTTTTCCTCAATAAATTCATATAATAGATTTTTAGTTCATATTTGTTTACACTCGTTTTATGTACTTTACCTGTTTGTTATTTTGTACGAGAACAAAGCCAAAGATTCTTTTTAATTGTGCGATTTTAAATCTTTACACAAATTTTTTTTAAAAGAAAACAAATTTATGTATGTAAATAAAGAATTTCACAATTTATTTATATTTTGTGTATAAAATAATGTTGTTAATAATTTATAATTAAATTTAATTTTATTTAATTTTTGTTTATTTCTCTTCGAACAATGAAACTTCTTTCATAAAAGTAGAGAAATGATCGGATTTAGCTAGTTTAACTCAGAAATAATTCATTTTATAGAGTCACAAATGAATTATTCTACACTTACGTGTTTTATATTTCCTTGATTTTATAATTAAATTCGAATAGAATTCTAGAATTAATTATTAAAAGTGTATTAATTAATTACCTTAACTTTGTTAATTTTTTTTTTATTCTTTTAATATTAAAAATAAAATATATTGTTCATTAACCTAAATTCATTATTGTGAATTTTTTTTTTTTAAGAGTATTGTGTTAATTTTTATATAAATATATATAAAGTGTATATCGATGAATTTCTAGTGTTCAATCTATGATAATGAATCATCCCTTTTAGTGTTTTCTTTATGAATCTGTTCTTTTTTTTATTTATAAAATATAGTATTTGCTTGCTTGTGATTGCATTCAGCTTTTTTGGCAATTTAAGGGTATCTTTGCTAAATCACTTCTATTCTAGTACATAGCTAAATTGCAGCGAATTTGAGTAATTGTGCAAAAGCAAGGTATATGTATATTAAAAGCATGTGACAATATCAATAGTAATGAAAAAATTGCAAAAATTTTCATATGCAGTCGTTTTTTCTGCTGTTCAAGTTAGATTTCTAAAGACATTAGGCACATCTAAATATATGTTTGTAATTTTAATGTTTAGAAATTTAAAGTTCATGAAAAAACTAGAAATATATCAGAACTAGAAGTTCTTAATTTTAATTGTAAAGTCAAAAATTTTCAAATTTAATTTTTGTATATTGAAAATTACAAAATTTTGTTGTACAATAAATCCAATTCTATCATATCGGATAGGATTCCATATAACATCATATCGGATGGGATCCAAAAAAACTACATATATAATTTTTAAATTAAATATTAACTATTAATCTATTTTAATGCAATTTTAATGTAATAAAATTAATTTTTTTTTTGCAATGTTCATTACAAAGTAAATAAACAAACAGCACAATTTACTCTTCCTTACCAGAATGTTCGAGTCTTCTAGTACTTTATAAGTTATTGTACTGTTAGCTTTGAATTTACGTTCCGTGTTCATTTGTATTCGTGTAATTGAGAACTTGTTTTCTTCATTTCTAATATTACTAATTGCAATTTTTTTTTTTTATTAAAAGTTATGTAATAGGAACAATATATGGAGGACTAAAATGAAATTGTTCTTACCCATATGGTTAAATAGAATAATTCTGATAAGACGTTGCAAGAATATTTTTTAATACCTAAGTTTTTTTAAAATTTTCGTTAAAATTTTCAAAATCACAATCCACATTTAAATATGTATGTACGTTATTAAACCATTTTTTCCTATATATAGCAGATACATTCATGCTTAATTCGTACACAAACATCTGTATATGTATTCCCGTAATTTACTATAGTTTTCCCCTATCTGCAAAACTGACAACCGATATTTTTATAACTCGCTAGGTATTTTGATAAAATATTTTGTTGCATAACAAGTTGTATATCGAAGAACAACAGTTTGTTATAATTTTTCACATACACACATTGCAAATATGCATTGGTGTATGAACAAGTAATAATATGTGAATGTTTGCATTTATTAATGTAATGTTATGTGTGTTTTGATATTTTATGCAAATTCCTATACTCAACAATATATCTTTTTTTTTTACAATTCTTTTTCATATCGAATCGATCCTTAAAAATAAAAAGCCAGCATATATTTTTTTTATTTAATTATCGTTTTTTTTTAAATTTTCGAACCCTTTCATTTAAATTTACAATATTTTATGTTTAAATATAATGTATAAATGTACATACATATTAACATATTTATTTACATAATGTAAATATAAATAAATAAAAGTTAATAATTCTATGAAAAGAAATACGTTAATATAAACGAGTTTATGAATTCGAAATTGTCGCATAAAGAATTCCATTCAATATTTTTACATTTACATTTTTATACACGTATACAAAATTGTCCATACAATAGAACTCAATTCATAGAAGACTCCACCACATTAAAAGCATTAAAAAAAATTGGACGCAGTCGATTAAATTAAATTTTCTATTTATGCGCGTTGCGCTGCTGAAAAGAAAGTTTTTTTTTTTATTTTACGAGTTGCGTTGCGGTTTTTGCTTTTTTAAATTTAAGGGATCGCTTTTTTTGCCTATTTTATATTTATGGTATTCTAAAAAAAAATAATAGAAATTCTGATTGTATTTAATTGAAAAAAAAAAACAAAATGAATAAATAAAAAAAATAAATGATGACTCCAATTGGAAGTTGATCGTTTAAAATTTAAATGGAGTGCCTTATTTTTTTAATTATTTTTTCTTCTTATTATTGTTTTTTTTTTTGTTTTTGTATACAGCTGTGTGAATTTACTTCCGCAAGAATGTATCAATATAGAAGTTATTTAGCTATTAATAAAAATAAAAATACGAAATGAAAAAATAAAATAGTAAATTTCAAAGAGTTCTGAGTGATTGGTTTGACTTGACCCATTGGGAATGAGAACGGTTTAATTTTTATATGTATTTTTGTGTAAAAGGCATATTGAGAAATTTATAGAGGCGCATATTTATATAGAGAAATTTATAGAATAACTTTTAAATATGGCTATATCGTCAAATTAAATTTAAATGAATATTTGTTTTAGTCATAGAATAATAAACAAATTGTGCGTACAAATAATAATTATTAAAGAAAATTCAAATAAATTCAAATAAATTGCATAAATAGAATTTTTTTGGAGTCTTTGGTAATAGTGAATTGATAGATATTAAAGCAATCGAATTCAGTGCATTTCCTTAAATGAGTTCATAATAAATGTACCAGTGGGTCATAAGAAATTTATCAATTTAGTTGGCATGATTGTATCTCATATTTTCTAATAGTGATGAAGAATTATTTAAAATTTTTTAATTATGTAAATGTGTGTAATTAAAATTGTTATTAAAAGATTATTTACGATAATATTTTATGAAATACTTTACGATAATATTTTAGTTTGAAATACTTTCGCGTATAGTGTAAAATATACTTAGAATTTTCTGTTTAAATTATAGTTTTTATTCTCTCTATTTTAAAATTTTTAAAATATTTCACTCTTATTTGCAGCCTAGTTGAGCTTAAAACAAATTAATCCGAATTATTATCAGAAGAAGTAAATTATGTATGCAATTGAATTTTATCAATTGCGAAAACCGATTTTATTAAATATTTTAACTTATTCTGGTTAATTTTTTAACTAAATTATTGTAAATTATTTATTTAGGTAATTTTTTTGTTAATTTTTTCTTCTTGAATTTCATAAATTCATTAAAATTTTAATTAAATTTGATTATTTTCAATTATAACACACTAAATGTACAACATTGTTTTAATGCTTTTACAAAATATTATGAATACTGGAATATTGTCTCCTAAAAATATGCAATTTTTACCTTTTATAAATTTTCAGTGTATTGAATATTAAGAAAATATTAACAGTGTTGTAAATTGAAATTTAGAAGAAAAAAAAGATAAAATCAAAATGTGACTTTAATTCGAGAGCTGTTGTTTTTTTACTTGTCTAATTAAAATAAATGTGTTTAAATGTAAGAATTTTTGATTTAAGAATTATTATTACAATAATAAAAACACATAAGAACTATTATTAAAAATAATATATTTATGGAGGAAAAGCAGTATAATTTTCCTATGATACATGCTTTCAAAAGAGAATCATGGGATTTATCTCGAAAGCATGTTACATCATATACGCAGTGTAAGTTTAAATTTTCGATCACATCATATAAATCGAATAAAAAACCACTACTTACTTAAAAATTTGTAAAATGTGCCAACTCTAAGATAATGGCAAATGAATACAATTGTAAATTTTATGCTAAAACTTAAAAACTTTTTGAATTTAAATTTTAAACAACTTTCATTAAAGTACATATTTTTATTTTTTATTTTCAGTTTATTTGAACAAGAGATAATGAGCTATGTTCCAATTGAAGAGAGAAGTCCACAAGGTTCACCAACCTTAAATAATTCTAGAGTACCTCAAAGAGCACCGCCACCATTTAGACGTGATTTTGAAGCGAAATTACGAGGTTTTTACCGAAAACTAGAATCCAAAGGTTATGGTCAAGGACCTCATAAATTAAAGTATGTTTATTGGAATCAAAATGCGAAACAGTTTTTTTTTTAATTTAATTAATAAAAATTTATTTTTATATATAGACTTCATATTCGAAGATCTCATTTATTAGAAGACGCATTCCGTCGGATAATGTCTGCCAATAAAAAAGATTTACAACGAGGACGTCTAGCAGTTCTGTGGGATACAGAAGAAGGTTTAGATTACGGTGGTCCATCAAGGTAATAATTTTATAGAATATTATATTATATTCTTTTAGAAATAATGCTTGTGGTCAACCAATTGATTTTTCTTTTCTTTCTTGTTTTCTTTTGTAGGGAATTTTTCTTTTTATTATCACGAGAGCTATTCAATCCTTATTATGGTCTATTTGAATATTCAGCAAATGATACTTATACTGTTCAAGTTTCTCCATTATCACAAATTGTTGATAATTGTCACGATTGGTTTCGATTTAGCGGACGTGTATTAGGTTTAGCTTTAGTTCATCAATATTTATTAGATGCATTCTTTACTAGACCATTTTATAAGGCTTTATTAAGATTACCAGTTGCGTTAAGTGATCTAGGTATAATTTTATTTTTCTTTTTTTAAATATCAAATTTATAAAATAACTTCGAAACAAATGTAATAAAATTAATTAATTTTTAGAATCACTTGATAATGAATTTCATCAGTCATTACAATGGATACGTGATAATGATATTGGATCTGGTGCTGATTTAGGTTTAACATTTTGTGTTACAGAAGAATTATTAGGTCGGGTTGTTGAACGTGAATTAAAACCGGGTGGTAAAAATATTATAGTTAATGAAAAAAATAAAAAAGAATATTTAGAACGTATGATTAAATGGCGTTTAGAGCGTGGTGTACAAGAACAAACAGAATCTTTAGTACGAGGTTTTTATGAAGTTGTTGATTCAAGATTGGTATCAGTATTTGATGCACGTGAATTAGAATTAGTGATAGCTGGAACAGCTGAAATAGATATTAATGATTGGCGTTTAAATACAGAATATCGTAGTGGTTATCATGATAATCATCAAGTTATTATTTGGTTTTGGCAAGTAATTGAAAAATTTACAAATGAACAACGTTTACGTTTATTACAATTTGTGACTGGTACATCAAGTATACCGTATGAAGGATTTTCAGCGTTAAGAGGATCAACTGGACCAAGACGATTTTGTATTGAAAAATGGGGTAAACCAAATGCATTGCCAAGAGCGCATACATGTTTTAATCGATTAGATTTGCCACCATATCCAACACCAGAAACTTTATACGAAAAATTGTCACTTGCCGTTGAAGAAACTAATACATTTGGAATAGAATAAGGATTTTTTTTTTTGAATTTCGTTTTCTTTTAATTTTTGTTTTAAATCGTTAAAGATTTATTGTTTAAAATGCAATTTTTTTTTTTCAATGTTTATTATCTGTTACTTAAATTTTTATAGATAATACGAAATAAACATTATTATTATATTATATAAATAAACTAGATCATAATTTAGTATATAAGTAAAATAATTTTTTTTTTTTAAATATGCCAGTTTCTTAAAACTTTAAGTAAATTATTTTTAATAATCAAGCTAGAAAAAGCTTAAAAATAAAACCGAAGAAAATAATGTATGGATGATGGTATATTGAGTGTTATTGTTTTATGGAATGATTAAAGTTTTATTTATTTTATACATAAATGTGAGGTGTTTTTGATTAGCTTTTAAATATTTATTTTAAATATGTAAATTAAAACTTATTTATTTGTAAAAAATTTTTTTCTTTAGAAAAAAAAAATGTAAGATAAATAAAAAAACAAAAAAAGAGAAATATTTAAAAAACAAAACCGAAAATTGGTATTGGCATTAATTACAAACTTTATTAAATAAAATCAAATAGTGAAATATTAATTAACAAAAAAATATTTAATTGCATTAAACTAAATAACAATAAAAAATTTAAGCTAAGTCTTACGGTTTGAATATTAAAATGAATTCATTTCGCTGATTCATTTCAACAGTGATAAAATTTTTCAAATATTCTTAATTTGGGTTTGAATTTATCTTGAATAATTGGTTAATTAATTTATCACATTTATTAATTTATCAAAAATTATTTAATATTTATAGTTTTTCAATTTTGTAATTATTGCAAAATTCTAATTTTTTATTAATAAAGTTGCCAATACTAATACTCTAATATTACTCAATATTATTGAAATGTTGAGAAATTTTGCAAATAGTCAAAGATAATTTGACGATAAATAAAATGTAATGTTTTTAACTGCTTCTTTAAGAATTATAGTCCTTTTCTAAATAAATTAAGGATATTTATTATTAAAGACATTAAATTGGTAATACATTACATTGCATTACTTACAAATTTTTTTAGAAAGTTTAAACATTTTTAATATCGAGTTCCAACATGTATTTTACCCACCTTAAATTTATTTTTGTAAAATACGTTAAAAAAAAATGACATAAATTTTGGCAAAAATTAAAAAAAAAAATTAAAATTATAAGATTGAAGTGTGCTTAAAAGTTCATTACGCAAGTTTAAATTTAAATGAGTAGGTGATGGGCATTTTCAGATAAATTACTTAGCTATTATAAAAAAAAAGAGAGAAAACAAAAGTTTTTAATTTTTAAGTAGAGAATAGTACAATTATTAATAGCTTACATATATTATTTTTTTTTTTATTTTGAAAAATTATTCTCTTTATCAACTTTAGGTTATAAATAAAAAAAAAAGTAAAGACTGTTGAATATCGAAATTTAAAATAATTTTTGTTTATATGATTCATTCTTTTAGTATCTATCTAAATTACTTAAAAATTAAAAAAAAATACTATTGTTATTGATTTGCTATTAATAATATTATTGTTATTATTATTATATTTGCAAAATATTTTAATTGCTTATTTTATAAAAGAAACCATATTTTCTTTTCACAATTATTAGGATTCGTTTATTAGATGTTTTATTCATTTCAGCTAGTAAATTATATTTTGCTTTATAATTTAATCTATTGAATTAAAATAAATTAATAATATTAATAAAAAAATAGTAATCAAAAATATGTTAAAAGTATTGTGTAGAAATTAAAAATTTTTCAAATTTTTCACAAATTTGAGGATAAAACAATTTATTTTTAACATTTGCCTTTTTTTTTTTAATTTTTCACAAATATATGTACACATATGTATTTAGATTTCTAGTCACTACAGGGCCTCGTTATCTCTTCCACCATTTTATTTTTCTTAATAAAATTTTATTTATTGTTTTGCTAGAAATATGAATTTTTTAAAGAATAAAGTGAAAAGTATGGTGTTGGGTGCAAAATTTCATATAAAATTTCAGTCAATTTCATTTAATTAAGTTTTATTAAAGAAACTGTCTCTAGCATTTAATAAAATACTCAAATCATAATCGAATTCAATAATACATATTATCTAATACAGTTTGATATTAATTTACATTCCGCAATATAAAATTAAATATACAAAATATTAAAATTTAAAGGTGCCCTGATGAAAATTTTTTTTTTATTGTTTATTAAACAAAAAACAAAATAAAACAATAAAATATAATTACGTATTACAAGCAAACATTCGAAATAACTTAATAATTAACATACAAAACAATAAAATAAAAAACACAAGTTCGCATACATAAAATAATATATATATATACCAAGTATATTATATATACATATATAATAAAATATTACATTAATTGTATTTATACTTATTAGATATCCGAATTTTTAATAAAACTTGTGAATTAATCGTATCGAAATATAAAACAAAAAAGATATTAGATAAATATATAATTAGATAAAAATAATTAAATTTATTTAAAAAGAAGAAAGCTAATTTTTTTTTTTTTGAATTTATATATGAAAAAGAAAATTAAACAACTACGATAAAAATAACATGGATAAAAATAGAATAACTTGACTATATTAAATTGCAACTAGGAATCAAAATTCAAAATAAAGCTATATACAAATATAATAAAATTATAAAATATTTAAAATAAAGGACAAAAAAAAAAAAAACAATATATTGAATCAAAAATTATTATAAAATGCAGACAAGAATTAATAATCGATGAATAGATTAATTAATTTCAATTAAAATTAAATTTTATGTAATTTAATTATTAAATTTATTTATTTTAAACACAGAAAATACAATTTATTGCAAACTAATAATATGTGTATTATCATTTAAAAGAGCACAATTTGTATTTACTTATTGAATTTTATTGCAAAACAGTTGTCTTATTTTGAAAAGCATATAAAATTATTTACATATTATAAAAGTTTAATATACAAATTAATTTTTATAATATTATTAATCAATAATCAATAATTATAGAAAAATTAATTATATTAAATGTATATTGGCAATTATTTATTCAACTATTTAATTTAAATAATTAAAAAAAAAATGAAATAAATTTGTCTAATTAAATAATTAAGTAAAAAGAAAACACAAGTTGCATTACCATTTTTAACAAACTTCAAATTTTTTCTTTCATCTTTTAATTCATTATTTTCAAGTATAAAAAAGGCGTATATTTTATAGTTCCATCGTTTTTGGAATTCAAACATTAAAATAAAATAAATAAGATAATATGCAATAAATGTATGTTTATTAATATTAAAGAATATTGTGATTGTTCTAGGTTTCTAAAATTTATTTTAAGCATATATATATATATTATATAATTTTATTTAATATGCTAATCTAAAATGTAATGTATGTATTCCTAGAAAAATTAAAAGTTCATTTATTATTATTTAATTTTAATAAAAAAATTAATTAATACAGAAATAGATGATATTAAAATCTACAAAATTATGTTTCTGAATTACACAAAAAATAAAAAAAATAATAAATCATGCTGACACAAAAAATTATTTATGTATGAATATTAAAAAAGAAGTGAAATGGTATACTTAATATTTGATTCTATAAATTTTATCCGTCTTTAAAAAAGTTAACAAAAATATTTAAGTTACCATCTGGAAAAGAAAATATGTATATTTGAATTACAATATTATTATGAAATGAAAATAAAATAATTGATAAAAATTGTCAGTATTGATATAATTAAAATTGTTTATTTCAAGTTGCACGTATTTGTAATATCATTTAATATATTTTAGCATTTCTAATAATTAATATTTTCAATGAAATTTAATGATTTTAAAATAATATTATTGTTCTATTAACTTTTTGTAATTTTGAATTTTAAATTTGATTAGCAGATTTAGAATAACTGATAAAAATAATTATGAAAAATAAATTTTCCTTTAAATTAATTTTTTAAAATATCAAGTCAATTAACAATTAAACTATTTCTCACGATTTAAATGTTTAAATTAAAAAATTTTATTATGTAACCCTTACTAATTTCCTTTGTTTTCTGCAAATTATCCTTGTTTATGGTATAAGGATTAAATCGAAAAAAACAAAAAATATTTTTAAATATTTTAATTAATAACAAAATATTTTTTTTTTGTTTTACATAAAGTGATTTTAGATAATAAATATTCATTCTATTGTGCCCTAAAAAAAAAAAACAAAAATAAATATCTGCTACTATATTTCAATGCATATATTAAGAAATAAAAAGCTAAAAATATTATTGCAAAAATTTATCAAGCAAATAAATGTTATTTATGATACGTATTTGAAATTAGTCATTTTGAAAAGTAGGAAAATTACGTAATATACTTAAAAAACAAAAAATGTAATTATACAAAATGTAATTTAATTAAATATTTGTTTATTTATTTTTATGGTAATTATATTAATAATTAAAATAAAATGTTCTATTATCAACTGAATATATAGGGAATATAATATTATTTTAAAATGCACTAATTATTTTAAAATTTTTAAAAATTTTAAAATTTTATATTATTATTACACTATTTAAATATTTATTTATATTTTACTTTAAATATTATATAATGCGAATTTAATCGCCAAATACAATTTTATAAAATATAAAAAAATCATAGAAAGAAATTTTTTGATAAATTTTTTCTGTTTTTATAAAAAAAAACTTTTAACTGAAAATAGTAAAAAAAAAGCATTAAATGGAAATAAAAAAAAAAACAATTTCCGCAAATTCTTTAACGTCAAAATTTTGATTTTAGTCTGCAAACTGTCTGAAACTAAAACTTTTACGGACAGAAATGTAGTAAACTTTTTACCCGTAATTGACTTTGAATTTTGATCATCCGTAAACGTCAAAACAAAAATAAAAATTTTTTTTTAGATTTAAAGTAATTTTATACTTAGATATTAAAAATTAACAAAAAAAATATTTTTTATATTATTTTTAACGTAATGATAGTCACTCAACACATCAAATTTATTTACTGAATTACTACGTCAGACTGTCTGCATGTAAAAAAAAAAATCTACAATTTTGACGCTTAATTGACTTTTTTTAAACGTTTAAGAATTTAAGCTTTGACTGAAAGTAAAAACGCAGTAGAGTATTCGTAAACTCAGACAACTCAGATTTTGTAAAATTTGACGTTTAAGAATTTACCATTTCTCTTTAATTTAATTTAAAAAAATTTTTAATATTTTTTCCAGATCGAAAAATTATTCTTAATAAATATCGTAGTATTTGAATCCTAATCAATTAAAATCTAAAATTAAATATTTTCGATTTTAAATTTTTCTTTTTAATCGAATTTTTAATAACATAAAATTTTTTTTAACCAAAACTCTTCTCAAATTATAGTTTTTATTAACATAAACAAAAAAAAAAAATAAATAAAAAATTATAAAAAAAAAACGACACTTAAAATAAAAACATAATTAAAAAT